AATACAAACTTTTGGGGAATGGTTGAAAAATAGGAAGTATACTTACGTTTGTCAGTTATGATAAATTCGTTTCATAATTATTTTTTTTCAAGTTATCGTTTTCAGTTTTTCTGAACTAATAATACAATTGAAAAATTTTTTTTTTGCAAATCCATATTATAAAAAAAAACTTTATATACATATCTGAAAAGCCATATCAAAGTCCTGAAAAAGTATAAAATGAAAATGTAGAAATTATTGATAACTTAATATATATTTAAAATCCTTTTAATAACTTCAAAAAATTTAGGAATAAAAGAATGAGTGGAAAGGAGTTTCGCAACAGGGAATTAAAATGAATTATTTTTTTCGATTTCATAATTCTAATTTGCAATATGCTATTGACGAACTTGCGAGAGAATTATAGCATGATTTTACTTTTGCAAATCAACTCACACTCGTATCACAATTTCATTTATAAAGATTACGCAGTATTAATCATCTGGCCCCGCATACAAACGTGTGTTCGGAGGGACACCATATGCACCCTAAACAGCCGATTTCGTTGTTAATTTCTCAGTGTACTACAGATTTTAAGCCCAGGATAAGAACAGGACCATCCTAACTTAACATGTCCATATACTCGAAACATGGCAGAAAGGAATCCAAAGAGGTTATTCCAAGTCTCTTTGGAGTTTTGAAATAACCATGACTCCAAAGCTGTTTCTCTTTGAATCCTCAATGAAATTTCTGTAGGTCATTCACGTCAATTTTTTCCCGCTTTGTCCTCGCTAGAAATAATTTGGTTACTCGTTATCTGAGCTCTTTCACTATGTATAAATCCATACCTCACAAGCGGAGTCTCTTTAAACCTTCAATTAAATCACTCTTTAAACCTTCAATTAACTCATTAGGCTAGCTTCTTTCACCTAGCAGAGTTGCAGTGGTAACATACCAAACAACTGTTTCAGCGCAACACTATAAGTTGTAATAAAGAAAAATGTGTTGCAGTAACTCTGAAGTCTGTCTTCCATCATAAAGCAATCACCCCAAACCATTACTATGTTTAAAACAAGCCATGAAGTCACTCGTTACTGAAAAATTCGTCTTATCCCTTGTAAAATGCTTTTTATGATCTTTTTTTGACGTCCATATCGTTCTTTATTGTAAGTTGGCAGTACGCATTTATATTCAACCCAAGAGACCACACTGTTGAAAAGCTTGAGTGTCAGTAGACAAGTTCTGAAAATCCTGAAATTCTGAAATGAAACTTTTTCAACTGGCGTGAGAATTAATAGTTCTTGAGTGTCAGTAGACAAGTTTTGAAAATCCTGGAGTGATAATTTTTGTGAGAAACCTTCTGAATAACTTTTTAAAGTCTGAACGCTTAAAACAACTTATATCTTAACCCGTACTTATTACTTCGCTACAGTTAATACGGGAAATCAAATTTTTAACAATCTTATAATCAATGTTATATTTTGAAGGCCTTGAAAACGTTACATAACCTCCCTTTTTGCAAATTTTGACAACGCAATCTTATTATACTGTACATGTTAATAATTTTAATCTAATAACCTGGTTGAAAGCCTGTCGCGTTGCCTTGTTAACAATAATTTAACAGCATTGATAACGTAGTCATTTAGCGTTTTAAACACGTGTCGCATTCGTTCATTAACATTTGTTATTTTTCCACTGTGTTATGATTTTTTAAAGTTCATGCCATAAGGTACCGAATAACAGTAGCCCATCACAATATTCCTGATGTACAATAATTATTTACGTGCCTATACGTACATACATATGATATGAGTGTATATATTTAAACTAAAATTGATTTTTGAAATAATTTTCATTCCTAATATTGCAAATCGTAGGCTTTTTTAATTTTGCTTTTAGTTTCCCTTTTCCTACAACTCAACAACGTTATAGGTTTTTTTATATTAATATTAAACATTCTATAAATATATCTTAATATATTGTTAAAAATTACGTAATATGTCTCTTGAAAAATGGCAATTATAGCAAAATAGTGAAGATACATATTGAATATGTCACTAATAATTGATGGTGTTGAAAATTTATTTGTGGAGAGAGTTTTTAGTGAATTAGTTGAAGTAGCAGACAATGAATTACTCAAATCAGATTGCAGAAAATTTACACGTAAAAATTCTTGGCCAAGAATTATTAAAAATCGTGTAGATTGTATGTGCTTAAACGTTCCGTGGTTAAAAAGTATGTTTTACTAAAATAACTCCGCATAGTACAAGAAACATTCTTGTACGCGATTTAAAATAAGTTGTTCGAAGTTGTGAATTTTGTTTTAATGATCAAAAACAGGCAAAAGCATTATAAGAAATAGCATAATTGAAATTAAAAAATTTGATTCACCAATTAAACATCAGATATTCAATACTAATAACTCGACCAGAATTTCTCGTAAAAAAATTACAAACCGTCCAAAAAATTTTTATAAAAAAACATGTATTGCATGTATTTATACACATGCATACACATATAAAATCGATAAATTTTAAATTTATCTTTTCTATGGTTTGAATTTTCTTTGTTGTTATTTACACAAAGATCAATGCATGTATGTGTAATAGATTTTAAAATACATTTTTAACGTTATCCGGCCTTGCCTTATATATAGATTCACACAATATGATTTATCATAATTATCATAAAGAAAATTCTACCTGATTTTAGGCCACAATTTTGCTCTAAAATCAGGCAGAATTTTTTCAATAAAATTTTCTTTAACCCTCAAAACTTGATCTTAGACATCTATATGTATCAGACACATACATATAGCTGCATACATATATTGTATTCTATTTGAATTAAAAAAAAATGGAAAAGTTATTTGTTAGAAATACTTAACAATAAAAGATATTATGTGCATTTCTACGTATACAAGGGTACCATGTTTATATTACTTACATTAATATATTAAAAATAGATTGTAACTTACGTCTTATCACAATATTTTTAACTATGTACAGAAAATACTTTGTATGCATATATAATTATTATTGAGGAAGTAATTTACTTTAACAAGATGCTCTTACTTAGAGTTTCATATTTTATTTTAAAGACTCAACATTTTAGCTATAGAACAACAGCCAATCCTATAAAAAACATTAATTTTTTATTATTTTCTTTTGGGTAAAATATTTCAGAAGCTCATCGTGCTCTCGAATTACTCGAAGATTATCACTCAAGGTTGTCAGAACCACAAGACAGAGCGCTGCGTATCGCAATTGAACGTGTCATTAGAATTTTTAAATCACGCTTATTTCAAGCTCTTTTAGGTAAGTATTTTATTTTACAATGCAATTTTTATACTACGATTTGCACTGAACAGGAGAAACTTTTTGAAAAAAATAATTTTAAACATCAAGTGTCTTTTAGTTTTAAGTTTTTTGAACGAAGGTTGTATGAAATTAGCTAGAAGTCTCATTTTGTATCTCAATTTTTGTATATTTTAAATGTTCAAAAGGTAAAACTGGGCGGATCATTACCAAAGTTTTTAGTTTTTGTAAATATCTTATTTACTCAAATTTCGAAGAAACCCTAATCTCAAAATACTATTGAATAAAACCTTAAAATATCGTGAATAAAAATATCGATCAAAGAAAATATATCGGTAACCCGGAGCAAAGAGCCACAGAGACGTCAACTCTGATGTTTTTTTTTCATTTTATCATATTTTTCATCATTTTAGAAATTTAATGCTCCGTTAAACATTCCGGATAACGAGGTTCTTAAAACATTTAAGTATGCTAGATTAACACGTATACACAATACTTAAAATATGCATACAATACACTTATAAAACTATTTATAAAATTATAAAACATAATAATATATAATATGTTTATATATATAATTTTTGTAGTATGCTTAAAATGTAACCATAAAAGTAAACACCTTTTATTTGCTATATTATACTATAATAATATTGATGGAAATATACTACTATTTCATCAGATATATACACCAAATATATTATTTATTAAGAAACAAGTTATTAAAAAATGTGTTTTACGAGTATGTATATATTTACTTTATAAGTTTTATACATATTTATACTATTGAAGTGCAAAAACGAGTATACTATAAAGATTGTACTATATGCCATCTCTTATAAAAACAATAACGAAAAATACCCTAATCGTTTGTATACTACGCTTTTACATTTTCGTAAAAAACATTGTTCAAAAATTTTTAAGTCAGAAGAAATTTATGAAACTATTGTGAATTGGCTCTTTCGATATTTAAAATAAAAGAAGAAATTTTGTATTCGACTCTCGATGTTTTTGCACTTTTTTTTTTTTTTTGTGTACTGAGATGTAATGTAGTATAATATACTAAACTCGGAAGATATCAGCTTTTAATTTAGAAAATATTAACTCTCTATTCAATCATTTAAAATGATATGAACAAAACAAGAGTAATTTGAGTATATATTTTCACAATATATAAAACTTATTAAATATAAGGCAATGTATAAAAGATAATAAAAATATTTTGATTATTTAAATTATTTAAATTTTAAGCAAAAGATTACCGACATTTTTTCTCATCAAAAAATAAATACATACATAATAGTATAAACATAGAAGTTAGAACATATAATTTTCGAGAATTGAAAATTCTCGCAAATGTTATGTCAAATACGGGCACAGTTTCATTTTTGAATGTTTTTTATATTTGCAATTCACAATATATTGGAAATAATATTATAACCTTTAAAAATGAAAAGCATTTGACGTTTGATATAGTATATGTTTTATAAAAATGATATTTTTTGTTTTAATTTTAATAATTTTAATTCCCTCAATGAGAAATTAAAAGTTTGCCTACTGTAATATTTAATGTAGTTAAATACTATAGTTGGTCTTTCTCTAACAAATTAAAAATCTGGTTATTAAAAAAAAAAGAAATTACGTATGCTGTTGGTAACACTATGGAAAAACTACATAATTGAAAATCTTGCTTTAATATTTATAGTGTCAAAATAGAGGCTTCTGCAAACGAATTTTGTGCCCAAACGAATTTTTGCATCTTTTCTGCTTAGGTAAAGACTGGTGCTGATGATATACATCATTTAGGATTTTATTGATTTTATTAGAATAATTATTAAAATTTTATGAATTTTTGTGTTTAGTTAGCAGTTTCTAATTTTTAACTGCTTCACACAAGAAAAAAGCATTTAAAATGTCTGGTACATTAAGCGCTTATTTAAGTGCCATTCAAAGGTGTTGGATAGCAAAAGATGGTTACTTAGTTGCAGCATTTATTTCACTTAGTGATAAACATATTTGCAATAAAAATTTATACCTGGAATATCCCGAAAATACAGTAGATCGCTATCTAAAACAACCCTTGAACGAAATAGTTAGTTCTCATTTAAAAGTGTTGTTTCATTTATGCAATGACGGTAATTTGTATAATGTAAATAAGGTATATTTGGAAAAAGAAATAAAATTTTCGCTTTTAGCGAGGGATTATTCTGAGGCATATAAAACCCAAAGCCATTGCGTTCAAAGTGTGGTAAAAATGTTACAATACCTAAAAGAAGAGAATTGGTGTTTGCCAATTATGTATAGAGTCTGCTTGGATTTAAGAATATTAGCTCAAAAGTGTGAAGAAGAAGGATTTCATTCAAAACCGGGTGAAATTCTTGAAAAGGCAGCCGATTGCTTAATGGCATGCTTTAGGGTTTGTGCTTCAGATAGCAGGTAACAAAACACTTACAAAATTAGTTTTGTAAAACAATATTTTCAAAATTTTACAATTTTTAGGTCATCAGAGGAAGATACAAAACGTTTGGGGATGCTGAATTTAGTAAATCAACTTTTCAAAGTATATTTTCGAATAAACAAATTGCATTTGTGTAAACCATTAATTCGTGCAATAGACAGTTCGATTTTTAAAGACGCATTTCCTTTGCCAGAACAAATTACGTACAAATATTTCGTTGGTCGTAAGGCAATGTTTGATTCGGATTATGCTTGTGCTGATCAATTTTTAAGTTTTGCGTTCGAAAACTGTCCAAACCAATTCCCTCGCAATAAACGACTAATTTTAATTTACTTAGTACCAGTTAAAATGCTATTAGGTTTTATGCCTAAAAAGGAAATTCTCAAAAAGTACGATGTTCTTCAGTTTTATGAATTGGTGTCAGCACTTAAATTGGGAAACGTTAGAAAATTTGATGAGGTTATTCAAACACACGAAATATTTTTTATTAAATCTGGAATATACCTTCTTATAGAAAAGTTGAAATTTATAGTGTACAGAAACCTTTTTAAAAAAGTCTACTTAATTAAAAACACTCAAAAACTTGATATGCAAGATTTTCAAGCAGCTTTGCAATTTGTGGGTGAAGCAGATATGTCAATTGAGGAAACTCATTGTATCGTAGCCAATTTAATTTATGAAGGAAAAATAAAAGGGTACATATCATATCAACATAATAAATTAGTTGTATCAAAGCAAAATCCTTTTCCACCTCTAAATGGATCCACATAGATTTCAATAGAAAAAAATAGTTCTAAAAATGTTCAATTTTAATAAATTGTTAATGTTACTAAATTATTACGGATGTCTTTGGTTTTAAAGAATAGTTACAAAATGTAAAATCTTAGTTAACAAATTTTAAACTTATATACGTAAATTTATACATATATAAAACTATCTCATCATGAATATCAATTGAACAAGAATACATTATACTTCCTATTCATTTTGTATTTCGGTATATAAGCAAGCAAAGCAGCAAATAAGACATTAAAGCATTTATTAAGATGTCAACTTTAAAAAACACACTTTTGTATTTTGCAGAAACAAACGAAGAAGGATCTTTAAAAGGAATAGATAATTATTTTCTCTAAACTTGAAATTTTATTTGTTTCCCTTTCTTAAGTCTCAATAATGTAACATGTACATGTACTTAAAATAATAAAATATATACACAGCAACATCTTATATCTATAAGTCTGTGATTTTTTGGAAATTGTTGATGTAGAAAAATTGCTTTTCGAAGTTATGATAAAACCTACTGCAGATTGAAAAAAGTAAAAAAAAGTCTTATTATTGGCAAACTCAACATAGCAACCTTTAAGTGTTATTAAAGAATTAATCAAAAAAGCAGTTTTATACCAGAAATAAAAAAATACATATATGTAAGTACAACCACGTATTATGAAAAAATGAAAGATGAACTAAATATTTAATAACAAATAGGTAATATCAAAAATAAAACAACATGTAAAGATAACCAGTTTTATTTTGTCTAATACCGAATAAAGTCTAGTAATGTCATAAAACTTTATCATATCAAAGTCATATTTATGTATGTAAGTGTTAAAATTCCTTAAAAATAAGTTAGTAAAGTCACTAGGAAAATGATTTAAAAATATTTACTACTATTCTGTTAGTCGCATTAGTTGCAATGAGGAAATTTTATTGAAAAGAATTTTGTTTTTTAGTATAAGAAATGGAATTTTTAAATAACAGCCCATCAGTTAAGTTATGCTGCTAATAGAATACATATATCTGATTATTTTCCTTATTAAGCGCCTTTAACCTTTTAATAACCATAATAATAATAACAGGTATTGTATACAGGGTATATTTAGTTTGTGTAACACCAACAAGATATTTTCAAAATCACATTATAAGTTGATTAAGTTTTGTTAGTTCTTCCATCAGTTCTGATTGGACGTACACCGAATTATACAGAAAAATTTTTTACTAAATGATTTAAAAAAAATTCAGACAAATTTTTTAAAGATTTTACTAATATGTATGTAATTGTGAAAAACACAAATTGAAAAAAAAAATAGTTTACATGTACATACATATATCGGCATTTATGCAACGTGTTCGGTAGAAAAAAAAATGAGGTAGTTAAGAGAAAAAGAATACCTACTCAAATTTTTAAATTTCCATTGACATACCATTTTGTATTATAAGTTGCTACATTACTATTAAGGTATCACGGAAATTTCGCAGACATAAATTTTTGATTGACCGTATTGTGTATTTTACCGGTCGGTTGTGATGGCAATAAATTTTGCATATCGAGTTTTCGGTGTTCTCCATGGTAGGAAAATGTAAATAAACTACTTTTAGCAACCTGTCGGTCTGTCGATCTGTGTGTGCACGCATGTATCTCAAGTTCGACAGAACCGATTTTGATGAAATTTCATATGTAAGTTTATTTCGACCATGTATTCGACACGGATTGATAAATTTTTGGGATATATCAGGCCTCGAGAACAGCACTTTTTAGCGGGAGTGTTTTACATTTTTGTCCATTTTGAAGAAAATATTCAACCGATTTACTTGAAATTTTTTATATAAGCTTCGCTCGACTGTCTGTCACAAAACCTTCTAACTTTTTGAAGGCATCAGCAACTGAACGTTTACTATGGGCCAAATATACATTTTTGCGTATATAAAGAGAAATAATCGACCGATTTCATTGAAATTTAATATTTAAATTCTTCCTATTAAAACAATGAACATATAAATTTTTTGGAAAGATCAGGACTTGAAAACTGATCTGCGGACCGATTTTACATTTTTCACGAAACGAATTGACGGAATTTCTTGAAATTTGATATTTGATTTCTGGTTGCTGCCAAAACTAACTGCGAAACTTTACTAAGAGCCAAATTTACATTTTTCTAGGTGTGTTAACTACAAGCTTACTAATGTCCTAAAAATTGGAAAGAAGTATTTAACAGACATTTTTATAATATTCTGTAACACTTTCACTTAACTAAACAATACACATTGCGGTCGGTTATGTGCTGATCACATCAGATTTTTTAACCTAAATTTCTTTAACTCTTCCTAATTGATTATTTTCTACTTTAAATGTAAAGATTTTTCTACTTATAACCAATTGTATTAACATTATATTACGTATACATTTATTAATATGATTATTCATTATTATTTATATTTTTTTATATGTATATTAAAATTGATTATATAATTTTATAATATTTTTTGTAATATGTATATCATAAATAATAGTGATGGGAACTAACGAATAACTCGAATTGTTACGAAAAATTGATTCATTTTAGATATTCGAATGAGTGAGATTAAATTTATTCCATATATTCCATACTCCCTTTCCTATTGAATATTTTTAATTTTTTCCTTTTTTGTTAAAAAAGATTTTTCTTAATCGCTACAAAATATTTTTAAAAAATTAGTTTGCATTATATTGTTTTTAAAAATCTAATACAATCGAGTAGTTTTCTTCATTTTCCACCTGATTCAATTTGATCTCAGATTTTGACTACACATCAAATTCAGGTTTTATTATTTAGTCGATTTAATCTGTTGTAAAAACCTTGTTGTGGATAAAGTATAAACTTAACCTAAAATATTAGTTCAAGTCGTAGCGTAAAATTCGAGGTGTATTTCATTCTACTACACAAAATGATGAAGATTGTTTTCCGCGTACTGCAAAATATTATAACCATTACGGTAATCGGTTTTTGATTTTTTCTTTATTACGATTTATGAGCCGATGCCGATAAAAAAATTTCAACCAATCAATCAAAAGAAGTTTTTTCACACAAATTTATATTTTTTAAAGCTTTTTTTTCTAATGACTTTTGTTTTCTTTCAAAAAATTATTTTGAATTTGATTTTGATGTGTTAAGTGTGAAAAGTTGTTTTTAAATATCCAAAAACGAGAAAAACAGAGTTAATCGTGTCAACGCTGTGATACCCATACGGATTTGCCATTCTATGTGCGAGTAAATATATCATAGATGACTAGGAGACAGACTACGACTTTAAGTAACCGTATTACCATAATAATGTATGTGAAATTTCAGTACTGTGTTTTCAATATTTTCTAAGATATGATCAAACTACTATTGAAGTTGTATGGCAGCTACCACAAGGGGTCAAGCAATTTCAACGACTTTTAACCTTTCGAACATAGTAACATACGTTCGTACGGGTATAAAGAGGTTTGAAAATAATTGTCCGGAAAAAAAATATTTACCGAGTCCGATACTATTTGCGAATAAACAATTTTGGTAATACAAACACTAAAGTTTTACTGATAAATTTTCGTTTATAGACCCATGCCAATGTACGTAACAGAAGGGAATGTTCACTTTATACGAGATCAATATATTGTAATCGAGTATTATTCATTTAAAATTTTCACAATATTGACTTCATAATCAACATAAAATTTATAGAGGTATCAACCCATATAATGATAACGTTGGGGACTAGATCTCATATAATGATAACAGCATCAGTTTTCTAAAAGATATTAGGATCAAATTTGTATACCTCTCCTAGACTTTTTCAAAAAAAATTTTGAACTTTCTTGGATGAATGCAACGTACTTTATTAACAATTGAAAATTTTATCAAAATATAAAGTACATATATAACATATAGTAATGACATACATGCATTCGTGTTTTTTTTTATTTAAATACATTTTTTCTTAAATTTCAGATATTCAAGAATTTTACGAATTGACATTATTAGACGAATCGAAAACAATACAACAAAAAACAGTAGAAACGTTACAAATTGCTTCCAAATGGGAACAAGAAGGGCACTGCATCAAAACAACCGAGGTAAGATTTTGTTTATTTATTCTATTATCGTATTCTTCAGTTTTATTTGGTAAACATCTACACATGACTTCAGATCTTTTTTTTAAAAAACAAAATTAAGGAAAAAGGGAAGTTAATAGAAAAACGGGAAAAAAATTATTCCATTACAAATGGAAGTTGTTCTTAAGTGTACCTTATGGTTAGGGTGCGGTCCAATTTTACCTAACTTTTTAATTGTTTATGTAACAGTTATTATTTGATAAATTACCCATAATTAACAATTTTCTAATATTATATATGTTTACCAAAGTGTTGGGATCTTTGAAATATGATTTTCTAAATAAATGATGTATTAAACAGAACTTAATTTAATGAAACTCTTATAAAGAAGCTGGCTATGGCTATAACACATTATAATATTAAGCAATAAGATTGTTTAATATTATAATGTACAATAAACAATAATATTGTTTAATAAAGAACGTTGTTTGGTAAAAGAAAAATATAGAGCGTTGTGGTAGAAGAAAAAAAATTAGTCTAAAATTTTTTTTAATTTGAAAGAGAACACCTTATTTGTACTTATATATATGTATATATACTCATATTAAATATGGTGTAAGGATACATTTCAGGCACTACACAGGCACTTTTCTTTTTTCCCATTAATAAAGCCACTCTGTGTATGTATTTTGAAAACTACCTGAATACATAAAGAAATCCAAATAATTATTTATACTAATGTACATACTCATTTTGTTTAGATGAATTTACATAAACTTATTGTACTTATTCAGTATATTAAATTTTCATTTCCTTTTTTTTAGGTTTGAATGCTTATGTAACATGTATTTAAATTCCTTTTTTATTTTGTTGCTCCAAATTTTCGACGAGCTTTTGGCGCGCATTCCTTGTTACACACTTCTATAAATTATGCTATATACATCTATATTATGTATACTATATACAAACATATACATCTTTATTATGT